GCTGGAGGAGCTTCGAAACGCCATTTGTGAGCGAGCGTTGAAGAGTGCGGGCAGTCCGCCTGGGCGGGGGCCGCTTCGCCGCGCCGTGCGAAACCGCCACGGCGTCGCCTGAAGCTGGGGACAGAAAGGCAGCAACTTTGCTTCAGGGCAACGCTGATGCCTTTGTACGGGGGACGCAGCTGAAGCAAAATGGGCTCTGTCGGTGAAGAGTCGCTGAGCATTTGTCGCTTCACAATGGAGAAGCAGGTGGGTGGTGTCTTTGCCTGCTCTCTGGCCATTGCGGCGGGTGCTGACGCCAGTGAGTGGGTGACCCTTCCTCCACGCCTCGGTAATTGTGCCTCGATGCGGGAGGCGTTTTCTGTAACTCTTCAGCGCACCGGCGAGGAAAGGGCAAACGTCATGGTTGGCTTCGTTGTGGAGGTGCCGACGATGCTGCCGCCATGGCGTGGCGAAGTAGCGAAGGAAGAATTCGAGCACCGCCTTGCCATCGCAGAACTACGGGAGGAGGTGGCCTTGAGGGAGACTCGGTACGGCAGTTGCTCCAGCGGCTCTGAATACGTGACGGTGCGCCTAGCCAGTCTTTGTGGCCTCTGTCGTGAGAAGCTGGGGGCCGAGGCGGATTGCCGTGTTGCACGTGGTCGTCTGGCGGAGCTCGCGGCGGCGAAGCCATTGGGCGCCGTTCCACCGTCTCTCTCGGGCCCCTGGCCCCCGGAGGTGACGCGCGTGCCGCGGGAGCCACGCGGGCGGGCACCGGCAATGCCGCCCCCGCCGCAGTCGGCCTGCAAAATGGGCACCAGCGAGCCCTCAGCGACGCCCCAACGGCCCGGCGGCGCAGCCAGTATGTGGAGAGAGCTCACGGCGACTGACGGAAGGGCGTTGTACTACAACGTCGTCACCAACACAACCACGTCAGTGCGTCCGCGGCGGCGATGACCTGCGCGCAAAAGCAGGGGGCGGGGAAAACAAGCCTCCCCGCCGGGTCTGAGGCGGCGCGCGCCCTTCCGGAGCATTGCTGCCGCCTCGTTCGCTTGGTGGGCTTTGCCTGGAGGGCGGTGCCAGAATCTCTGTTTCCCGGACCTCTCCGTTTTTTTTTTGCGGGTGAATGAGTAGTTGCTTCCTCTGCCTCCGTTGTCACTTGTCAACTGCTGCCTACTTCCCTCCTGTTCCTGTGTGGATACGCCGCCGAGTGGGGTGGGAAGGTCCAGTACGGGGTCCTCTTCGTGTGCGCTCCTGGCCCACACGCGCTGTTCTGCAGACGGCCGTGGCGCCTACGCTCCTGCTTTGCCGTGTTGGAGCTGGCATTCCTTCCTTTTGTGTGTCCCTGCGTGTTGGGTTCTTTTGGGTCCTCCTCCTCCTCCGCTGCTGCTGCTCCTGCTGCGTGCCGGCCAGAGGCGGGGGCGAGGCGGAGGTGAGCGGGGCGGGCCGAGCCGGGGATGAGCAAAGCGCCAAAGAGGCGCGGCCTCTCGATGGAGGAGAAGGTATCGCGGGTCGAGGAGTGGTTCTTGGCTCACCCCACGCCTTACACGCTGAGGGATTTGCTGCTGGTGCTGCCAAAGGCGACGGGCGTCATTCCGCAGTCAATCGAGGAATGCCTGGAGCTCCTCGTCGCCGAGAGCCGCATCCGTCAGAAGAAGATCGGCGTCCACGTCCTCTTTTGGCGGTTTCCCAAGACGGCGGCGCAGCAGTTGGCCGCGGCGTTCGACACCGGCGGCAGTGGTGGGGCGGCGGCCGCAGCCAAATACACGGGTATGGGTTTGCCGCAGCTGCAGAAGGAGGTGCGGGCGTTGGAGGCGGAGGAGGCGGAAGCGCGTCGTCGCGTTCAGGGCGCGCGTGCGGAAATCGGCGATGCCGCGTCCGTGCAGCGCGACTCCATGAAGGCGCGGCAGCTGCAGGAAGAAGTGAAGGCGCTGCGGGCGGAGCTGGGGAAAATGGCGGCGTTTGATCCAGCCATGATCGAGCGCGTGAAGGCCGCCACAACGGCGGCGTGGGAGGCAGCCAACAGGTGGACAGACAACTTGTACCTCCTGGAGCACCACATCTCGCAGCGCATGGGAGTAGCTCCGCGAGAGCTGCGCATGCGGCTGCAGCTGCCTGCGGACGTTGATTACGTCGAGTTCGACGAGTTGGCGCGCGACAACGACGGCAAGACAAAGGCCGCCACGACAGCTCCCGAGGGGGCGGCGGCGGCGGCGTCACCCCCGCGGGGCGCGGAGGAAGGCGTTGCGGGCGAGCCGGAGTCCCCGCCGCCACCCCCCGCGGCTGAAGCAGCGGACACGCCTGCGGCACTTGGCACATGCAGCCCCCACGAGCGAGCCAAGCGGGGCAGGGGAGACGGCGTGGCGGCGGTGAGAGAGGGCCAGACAGGGGCGGCGAAGTGTCCGCGAAAAGAAGCCAAGGGGGACGCAGTGGGGCACGCCGCCGCTCGCCGTGGTAGGAAGAAGAAGGAGTCATAGAGGCGCACGTGACGGACCGGCGGGAGAGGGAGGCCGCTAGTCGACGCAGCTTTGCTTTGCCTCCCCCCGAACGCCCTCCCCCAAGCCGAGACGTAAATGTGGTGAACTGCCCGCCTTTGCAGACAGGCCGACACTTCACGACCGACAGACCCTCCCGCCGGGTTTCAGCAGCACAGAAGGGGACAGAGAGATGCACGGACGCGCGGGGGAAGCCATTGTGTCTCCCCGCCGCCACCGGAGTGCTCACTGCACTGCACTGCACGGGCCATGTCCTTTTCGGCGGCGACCGGCGGCACCGCCGCTCTCGCTCCTGCCCACCAACTCTTTTCAGACTTATGGGACTCGGGTCGCATGCAGCAGACACAGAATATTTCAAGTCCAACACATCTCCTGCTGTGTTTGCGTTGCCCCGGGCATCCCCAGCGCCGCCCATCTGCGGGGCTGACGCCGTGTATGTGTTTCCTCCCCGCTAGCCTCTCTTCTGCGCCCCCTTCCAGATCGCTCTCCCTCCACTAGCCATAGGCAGCAACGCAGCAATGGCAGTACTCGGCTTCCACTCATGGTCCGAGTTCGTCGTGTATCTCACCTTTCTGTTCTTTGGAGTGTCGATCATGATGGTATCCAACGCCATCACTGCGGCCCCGTCCTTCATCACCGAGTTCTACAAGTACGCTCAGGGCGACAAGAACGCCAAGGCCGAAGATCCGAGCTTCTGGATTAATGTGCTGACGTACTACAATGCAGCTGTGTTTGGGATGCAGGTCGTGTGCGAGACATTCATGCTGACGCCCCTGGGCAGGAGCATTCCGCTACGTCCGCGGCTTATTTGTGGACTTATCATGCCGTTTGGGGAGATGCTCGCGCTGATCCTTGTCGCGCTTGGTACACGTCGGAGGCTGGTGCCAAGGCCACCATTATGGTCCTTGCTGTTGTCAGTGGGCTCTCGAAGACGCTCTGCGACTCCGGTACGGGTGCCCTCGCAGGCCCATTCCCGACAAAGTTCTACAGCTCGGTAATATGGGGGATCGGTCTTTCAGGCATCATCTCATCCGCAATGTCGGTGA